GTTACGAAAAACGACGACCATATGATCAGATCCGGTCGCGATAAGGGAGGGGGAAGTCGGGATCCGAGTTCAAGGGAGGGGGAAGTCGGGATCCGAATTCGGTGGGCGATCAGGTCGGGATGGGAGGGGGGGAGCCGACATGAGAAGGAAGTTGAGATGGGAAGAGAGGGGGGTCGGGATAGGAAGGGGAAGGCAGTCGAGATGGGAAGAGAGGGAGAAAAGACGGGGGGATCGGGTAGAAAAGAGGGATCTGGTCGGGTAAGGATATTGCCTACAAAAAACGACGACGGCTCTGAGATATCAACATGAGAAGGGTGGGGGGGGGAAAATCGAAATGAGGTCGGGACGAAGGTTTTTTTTTTTCTGTTTTTTTTTGTTTTGGTTACAAAAAACGACGACCATATATCCAGATCAGGTCAGAATATGGGAGGGGGAAGTCGAAATCCAAGTTCGAGGGAGGGGGAAGTCGGGGTCCGTATTCGAGGGGCGATTAGGTCGGAATGGGAAGGGAGGAGTCGGGATCGGAAGACGGGGAAAGAAGACGAGAAAACCAAGAAGCGATGAAGTCGGGATGGGAGGTCGGGATAGGAGGGGGAGGGAGTCGAGATGGGAAGAGAAGGAGAAAACGGCGATGACCTTCACTTTTTTTTACTTTTTTTTTTGCCTACAAAAAATGACGACGGCCTTGAGATATCAACATGAGGAGGGGTGAGGGGAGGGATCGAGATCGGAAAAAAGGATCGCGTAGGGGGAAGTCGGGATCCAGGAGAGGGATCGAGATGAGGAGAGGGGAAGGGGCGGGGCTAAGGATCAGAAAGAAACGGGATAAAGAAAGGTTTTGTTTTTGAGATTTTTCTTTTTTTGTTTTGTTTTTTTTTATTGCAAAAAAAAAAACGACAACGACCATGAGAGAGTTTTTTTTTTTGTTTTTTTTCGCTTACAAAAAAACGCATCAGCATTGATTGGTGTTTTTTTTTGTTTTTTTTTGTGCATGAGAGTTTTTTTTTTTGGTTTACAGCAAAGGGCAACGACGTTGATTTTTTTTTATTTTATTTTTTCGCTTAAAAAAAAAGGACAGCAACGTTGATTGTTGTATTTCCTCTTCGCCGTACGCGGAGCTGCGGCGGGTCCCCTTGTTTTATTTATTTATAGAACTGGTCAGACGCATGCTGCAGTAGGTCTCGGAGAGGACACTAGTGCAGACAGCGTCTGCCTAGCTGATGAGCGGATCAGAGGGCGGTGAAGGATCAGCTGACGAAGGAAGGCAGACTAAGCGTGACACGCTTAGAGTACCTGTACTGTTCCAAGTCCTGCTACCAAGAGAGGAGAGAAGGCTAAGTGTCGAAGCAAGGGCCCAAAATCTTGAGATTGCCAGGGAAGCAGCAGCAGTTGTGGAGAGGACGTTAGCGGCAGCAGAAGCTAGCGTAGTACCCATGGCTACCTCTTCGGCAACATCTGCAGCAACCCCAACTTGTCAGCAGACCAGCTCGCAACTCATCTCCAGTACGTCAAGAGTTGGCACTAGTCAGTTGGCGGGCTCGCAGTTCAGCTCGCCGCCTCCACGCACCCGGGAGTAGATGGAGCTCCAACAAGTAGAGAGGATCCGTTTAAGGCTAAAGGAGGAACTTAAGAAGGCTATCGACAGGGAAGTTGAGATTAGAAATAGAAGTATTAGACTTGAGAGTAGAGAGGCAGACAAAGATGCATTAGAGGGGTTAGATGACTTGACCGTTAATGACACCGGAAAGATTCTTAAGGCGAGCATCCTGTCCATGCACGCGTGTATGGACAACAAATTGGACACTATCAAGGACACCCTGGACCAGATCCTGAACGCCATGCACAAGCCAGGGGTCAGGCCAGCAGCTTTGCCATGGTTGCCATTCTCAACGATGACAGGCCCGTATCCGCCTCAGTCTGGTACCACACCAAGCGGTACATCAGCAGCAACACCACAGATTGCTGCTTCTCCATCTTCTGGTCCAGCAGCGGGTGCTACACCCCAGCCGCCACTTGTCTCACTTGTGGGACAACAGCAACCATGGTACCCCAAGACCCCACTGAAACCACCCGCCACCTTCTCAGCAGATAAGAAGAGGCTCTCGACACTTGGTTGAGAACCTTTCCAGTATGGGTAAGGGCGAAGAGGACGCTTGTAGAGGGTTCAACAGCTCGCTAGCTAAATGGATTGGTAGCCTCAAAAGTGTTCGACACGACCATGGGTGACTAGGCCAAGACTTATACCCTTGAGAGCTTTATGGATCTGGTGGAGGCGCTTTGGCACAACCCTCAGAAGGCACAAATTGCCACTGATGGGTTACTAAAGCTTGATACTAGGAAGTACAAGTCTATGTGAGAGCTTACCACCACCACAAAGCGGTTGATTGTCGTCCCAGGGGTGGAGTACAATTCGTTGATCTTATTGACCATGTTCTTGAGGTGTCTTCCCATAGACATCAAGAAAACTTGTTAGCAAGCGAGGCTCAGCTACAGTATCACACCTTAGAGACCTTCAACAAGAAGGCCCTAGATTTCGAGGCTACGTTGGGTGGTGCTCAACCCCCCCTTACGAACGGGAGAACGAAGAAGGGTCCACAAGAGTGGAAGAATAAGGGTAGTCGATTGATGATGGTTGATTCTGAAGGGAATCAAACTGAGATCGATGATGTTTCTAATCTTGTGGATAGTTCAGAGTTAGACGGCGAGGATAGTGCTGAGGGTAGTAACCTCGCCGCGATAGTCAAGGCTAAGGCAGGTGGCCGCGGCAAGGGCGGTCAATAGAGGAGTCAGGGGCAAACTGCAAACCCAAACAAAATAGCTTTTTGGGTTAGAGCCGGTTTGGATCAAAATCTGTGGCGGGACCGTTACCAGAGAAGAGCTTTCATAAACTGCGACGAGTATGACCATCAGCAGTTCAAATGCAGGAACGTGAAGGTCACGCAAAAGATCTCTCCTAAGGGTGGGTATTCTTCTCCTTAGTCCGGGGCCTCTACGAGCTCCATCTCGAGAAATACCTAGGGCCAATAGAAGTTGTAGCTGCCTCTACTCTTGTTGAAGCGGGTGTTGTACCCTCCCCGTTTCAAGATTTGGTCGAAGCTATTGACTCCTTAATCACCCCGCAAACAACACACCTGGACCCAACTATACTCTGTACATTGGATGTGTCTGAAGCCTTAGAGGACCTTCAAGGTGAGTGGTCGGCAAGGGGCCCTCGTGAGTCCTGGGTGGCACTAAGTCGAGGTCCTAGAGGGGAGCATTTCGTTGTGGAAGTTGGTTTGGGTGGCCGCAAGAGCGGTGCCTTCGTAGACATCGGCTCCACGTGAAACTTAGTAGACCGGTTGCAGCGCCTAAAGGACCGGGTGCACCGCCTAAAGGAGTGGGTGCAGCGCCTAAAGGACTGCGTTGAGAGACTGCGCCTAAAGGGCCGGGTGCAGCGCCTAAAGGACCGGGTGCAGCGCCTACAGGACTGTGTTGAGAGACGGCGCCTAAAGGATCGGGTGCACCGCCTTAGTAGACCGGTAGCATCTACTTCGGCCAACAAAGAGCGCATGATGGTAGAGGACTACATTAAGAACGTGGTTTGCACTTTCTCCTATCCAGGAGGAGAACTTAACCGTAGAATATCATTCCTGGTGAGCGATGAATTGCCTTTTGATATGTTGTTAGCAATGTACTACCTTGAGGTTGCCAAGCCCAACCGTTAGACTGGCGAAGTACAAAGCCAGTAGGTTAGTTAACTCCTATGGGTGCCTATGCGCATCTGCGTTCTATAATTATTGTAAACTGAACCCAGAGGAAGGTATGTACCTAGTCTATGCCGCTGCGAAAGGGGAGGCCGTTAAAACACTCCAAAGGTAGAGAACATCGTCGCTAAGTACCCTGATCTGTTTGAGGAGCCTACAAGAGTCTTAGACAGGGATGTTGTCCATGCCATAGAGATCATCCCAGGTAGCAAGACACCTAAAGGGAGAATCTATAGGATGGCTCCGACCGAATTGGACGAGCTTCGGCGATAACTGAAAGAGCTCACATAGAAGGGTTGGATACAGCCTAGCACCTCCCCATTTGGCTCATCAGTATTATTTGTCCCAAAGAAAGGGGGATCACTAAGGATGTGCATTGATTATAGAGGCCTCAATGCCATCACTGTTAAGAACGCAGAGCCTCTACCACGCACCGACGACCTGTTGGATAGGGTGCATGGATGCAAGTACTATGCCAAGATAGACTTAAAATTTGGCTACCATCAGATTGCTATAAGACCAGAGGACCAACACAAAACTGCATTCCAGACCAGGTACGGTCTGTACGAGTTTGTGGTGATGCCCTTTAGCCTTTGCAATGCGCTGGGTACATTCCAACACTCCATGAATAGGATCTTCCACGACTACTTAGATAAGTTGTCGTCGTGTACCTCAATGATATACTTATCTTTAGTAAGATTGTCGAGGAACATGCCAGCATGTCAGGTTCTTTCACTCCTTCGACATCACAAGTATAAGATAAACTTAGAAAAATGCGAGTTCGGTCGCACTCGAGTCTTGTACTTGGGTCATGAAGTCTCCGCGGATGGGATTAGGCTTGAAGATGCGAAGGTGGCTAGCATACGCGACTGGCCACGACCCCAATCTGTGACTGAGGTCAAATCATTCTTGGGAACGTGTGGTTATTACCGCAACTTCGTTAAGAACTATAGCACGATTGCATCTCCCTTGATTGATCTAACAGGACTTGATACGCCATGGGAATGGACCAATGAGTGTGAGGCAGCTTTCAAGTGTTTGAAGCATGCACTCACGCACCACGGGGTTCTCATGGTACCCGACGCGCAAAGGCCATTTGTTGTAACCACTGACGCAAGCTAATACGGCATTGGCGCAGTGTTGGCTCAGCAGGAAGGGAAAGAGTTGAGACCGGTCGAGTATATGAGCAGAAAGATGCCATCAAAGAAGTCGGCAAAGTCCACCAACGAGAGGGAACTCTATGCCCTCTACAAGGCACTTGTCCACTGGAGGCACTATCTGTTAGGAAGGTTCTTCTATTTGAGAAGTGACCATCAAACCCTAAAGTGGATCAAGACACAACCGGTTCTCTTCGATGCGCTAAAATGTTGGATTGAGGTTATGGATCAATATGATTTCAAGCTAGACTATGTGAAAGGAGAGTACAACAAGGTTGCAGATGCATTGTCTCGTAGGACACGTTGCCTAGGTGCACTAATTTCTGAGTCCAGCCTTTCCAAGAATGTTACTCGATCCTTGGGGGAAGCCTACAAGGAAGACCCTATCACGATGGACATCATCAACAAACTAAAGGGCAAAGATGAGGCCACCACTGACGAGTTTGTGATGGTGGATGGGTTACTCTTTCTTGAGAAGGCAGGGTTTAAAAGGTTAGTCGTTCCATCTAGAGAGATTTTGCGTAGTTTATTTTTAGGTGAGTGCCACGATGCAACAAGACATTTCGGCTATAAGAAGACTAGTGTTAATTTAGTACAGTGATTCTGGTGGCCTAACATGTTTGACGTTGCAAAGAAGTATGTACAGACCTGTCACGTACTCAAGCTCCGCTTCGGTTACTAAAGCCTCTACCCATCCCTGCTGGTCCGAGACAAAGTATCTCCATGGACTTCATGGATACACTCGTGACCAGCAAGAGTGGCAAGAGACTTATCCTAGTCATAGTTGACAGGTTCACTAAGTTTGCTAGACTAATTGTGATGTTGGGAGATCGCCAAGACTGAACACGTCATCAAGTTATTCATGGATAACTGGGTGCATGGCTTTGGACTGCCAAAGACGATCGTCACTGATAGAGGTGTGTGTTTCACAAGCGAGATGTGGAAGAAGGCCGCTGAACAGATGGGCAGCCAGCTCCAAATGACTTTTGGAATCATCCAGAAGCCGCTGGTCAGGCTGAACAGATGAATCGGGTGGTGCAGCATCTGTTGAGGCATTATATTAACCCCAGCCAAGATGACTGGGATGAGAAATTACCTCTTATCGCCAGTCTGTACAATAATGATGTACACAACACCACTGGGGTCACCCTAGATCAACTGCATCTCGGCGGAAGCCTAGGTCTGCACTAGACTTCCTCCTTCCTGAATACCGACCTGCTGCAACTCCCGGAACCATTGAGTTTGGTGTCCAGTATGAGAAGTTGTTGCAGCAAGCTGTCGAGAACATCAAGAAGTCTCAAGAAGCAATGATTGCTTCAGGGAACAAGCATCGCCGACAATCCACATTTCAGGTAGGGGAACGTGTCTGGGTTAAGGCTAGTGAACTGGGATAGGAGTTCGACATCTCTAGGAAACTAATGCCTCAATATTGCGGTCCCTGGGAAGTCCTGGATGTTATGGGTAGTGAGATGGATGGTCCCTTGTACGTTATCTGTATCCCTGGTCACTTACGCACTCACCGTGTGTTTCATGCCTCAAAGCTCGCTCCTTTCGCTGAGACAAAACAGTTCCCATCACGGAGATCTATGCTGCCCCCAACCATGGATGGCCACGTGGACGTCGACGACATCCTGGAGCACATAGACATGCCTATTCCCAAGCCAGTTGGCAGGGGCAGACCGCCTAAACGTGCAAGAGAATACAGAGTACGGTTCAAGCATCATATGGATCCTAAGAAAGATCGATGGTTTACAAGGAACTTGTCAAGACAACTCATCAGATCGTGGCCGAGTATGAGAAGACATTGAAGGGGAAGGCACCTGCATGAAGCATATCGACGGACTTTTGAAGCTATAAGGGGGATGGAATGCGAGGAACGAGCCCTCACAGGGGCCCTGATCAGGCAAACACATGCTCTGGGCAGAGGCCCCCAGCAAGCCAAGTGCCCGCCCTAAGTGAAGGCGGGCCTGAATATTCATCAGAGGCCAAAATTCGACATTTTCATATATGGGTATTCAGGCTGTTGCAGCCCGCCAATTTGTTCAGTGGACGCACGAGCCTCCCTAAGCTGCGTTGTACAATTGGCCCAGGCCTTGGCAGTTGCGCCTGGTCACATACACACAAAGCAGGGCCGATACATCATGAAGTAGCCACAAGCCTATGAAAAAGCAGTATTGTCGAGGTACCTACCTCGGGGTCCGGTGTAAATGCATCAATGGGCCAAGTCCGGAGACTTAGGCCGTGTCCAACTCTAAAGGGCCCAGGCCCGCAATTGTAGTCTCGGCCTTGGGCGCAGGAACTAAGTCTCAACAGGAAGCTACTGGAAGCTTCCAGCCAGGCCACACGCAGCAATGCAGGGGCTGCCACTTCCATATAGGAAGGAGAGCAACCAAGGTCTGGACGTTCTGGCCCACAAAGGCAATGTGGTCACGCTGCTGCGTTGTTGCGCGAGACACGACATGCTGCACTACGGCCAGGGCGGGTGCAGGCGTGTGAGTGTTGAAGTGGGGCGCTGGCACCCATAGCCGGGATGCTGGGTCTCTAGGGGGTAAGGTGGGCGATTGGTGGTCTTTAAGGAGGCAAGTGTGGGTGGACAGGGTCTGATGAGGGGAAGCGAGATACGTACCTGGTACATGGAAGGGGTCGGCTATGGTGTTGACATAATGTACATTGGTCTACGAGAGTCAAAGTGAGCCTGTTGGGAGAATGCTGACGTAGGTAGGATAGTCAGGTAGTGTAGGCTGGGCACTAGGCCCTAGACAAAGAGGAGCGACTTTGGATACTGTGTTGGTGTGGCCTGAGGGCTTGAACGTTGGCTTATTACTTCGTTGTATTGCTGTTATTTGGATGGGATCTCAGTGCATTTATGCTCTCTGCTTGTACACGACTACCTAGACATCTGTGTGATTTCCAACTTGGTTTTCTGTATACCGTTCTCACTCATATTTCTTGCAAATGCGTGATTCAGAATTAAAAAAAAATGAATTAACGCAAGGAAAGAATTCTGAACTCAATTTTTTTTTTTTTAAATATTAGGATTTAATACCTGATTTATCAGTCAATGAAATTTCAGAAGTAAAAAAACGAAAATAAAAAATTTCAGTTGCTGCAGAATTTCAAAATTTGCCAAACTCTCAAAAAATGAATTTGCGCCAAAGAAAGAATTATGTCAGGATTGAGCCCTCAACGGGGCCTTGCCGACACGCATATGTTATGGGCATAGGCCCCCAGCAAGCCTCATGCCCGCCCTAAGTGAAGGCGGAGCAGAATATCCACGAGAGGCCTTCATTCAACATTTCCCACGGACCCAAAGTGGTTCGTCAGCAGCAGCAGCTCAGACTGTTCTTCTCTTTCTTCCGGTCCAGCGGTGATAGCTACACCGTCACCGCAACAAACTGTTCCTCCATAGGGACAGCAGGAAGGTCCATGGTACCCAAAGACCCCAATGAAACCGCCCCTTGCCTTCTCCGGTGAGAAGAAGGACGAGGAACTCAACACTTGGTTGAGAACAGTTCCAATGTGGGTAAGGGCAAAGAGGACTTTGAAGGAGGAGGAGGTGATTACTGCTGCATCTCACCTTGAGTGTAAGGCAGCCAAGTGGCTAGACGGTATAATAGCAAAGGCCGGGTTCGGACGACGCATGGCAGATTGGGCTAAAACCTTGACATTAGATGAGTTCATAGATATGGTAGAAGCTCGCTGGCACAATCCGCAGCAGGCACAAAATGCTACTGACGCGATGCTTAGACTTAACCAGCGCAGGTTCAAGTCAGTCAGAGAGCTTACGACTACCGTAGAGAACCTCATTGTCGTTCCCGGCATACGCTATGACGACCAGGTCTTATTGACCATGTTTGTGAGATGTCTGCCCGAGAATCTCAGAACCTTACTGGCCAGCGAGGCTCGCCTCGAGTATCACACCTTTGAGACCTTCTCTAGAAAGGCCCTACACTTAGAGGCTACTCTAGGAGGAGCTCAACCAACTCCGGTAGACAGGAGGAAGAAGAAGAGTCAACAAGAGTGGAAGAAGAAGGGGAGCCGATTGATGATGGTTGAGTTTGATGGGACCCAAACCGAGATCGATGAGCTTTTTGACCTGATGGACGGATCAGAGTACGAGGGCGAGGAATTTGCTGAGGGTAGCACCCGCGCCTCTCTTGTTAAGGTTAAGGCAGGTGGCCGAGGTAAGGGCCATCAAAAGAGTCAAGGGTAGGCCGCCTCCAATCAGTCCAAAATAGCAGATTGGGTCAAGGCAGGCCTTGATCAGGATGTGTGGCGGGACCGTAGAGTGCGTGGTGCTTGCATTAACTGTGGTGAGTATGGACGCACCCAGTACAAGTGCAAGAATGCAAAAGTCAAGCAGAAGATACCCCCTGAGGAAGGGGTGCCTTCTTCCCAGGCTTCCAGCTCGGGAAACACTTGAGGCAGGTGGAAGTTTTAGCTGCTTCTACTCGTGGTGAAGTGGGACAAATACCCTTCCCACATCATGAAATGGCCATAGCTAATGACTCTTTAGTCACCCTGCAGACTCATCTAGACCAAACTATGCTATGTACATTGGATGTGTTCGAGGCCTTAGAAAATTTAGAAAGTGGGTGGTCAAGCAAGGACCCTCGCGAATCTTGGGTGGCACTAAGTAGAGGTCCTAGAGGGGAAGGCAACTGCGAAGTAAGCATCTCAGCGGACTTTCGAAGCTAAGGGGGATGGAATGTGAGGATTGAGCTCTCAACGGGGCCTTGCCAACTTGCATATGTTTTGGGCATAGGCCCCCAGCAAGCCTCGTGCCCGCCCTAAGTGAAGGCGGGCCAAAATATCCACGAGAGGCCTTCATTCAACATTTCCCAAAGTGGGTATCAGACAGTTGCCGCACGCCAGTTGGTTGAAGTGGATCGTCAGCCTCCGAATCCTGCAAAGGCAGTTGAGCCCAGGGCCGGAGTTGGTTGAGCTTTGGGCGACAGTCTGTCACACATTGGTCCCTGGCCTATGGAAAAGCAGTATTTTGTCGTGGAGGCCGAGGAAACCAATTGGAAACCGGTACGGGGTCTGAATCTGGACAACGGTCCTAGCATAAGGGGCGCAACTGTATTACCTGGGCCCCATCAGCATTGGGCCTGGGCACAGATACTGGGACCCAGGCGAAGGCTCGAGGTAGACCGCCCACACGCAACATTGGCATATAGGCAGAGGGGGCGAATGGGCGAGTATCTTGGCCATTGTGAGCAAGGCCGACACGCTGTTGCATTTTGAGGTGCTGCGCTGCACTAGGCTGAGAGAAGGCAGGCTGGCGCTAAGCGATAGGGCGCAGCCTGGGCGTTGGGCGCTGGGCGTTGGCAGCCATAGCTGGGCTGCATGAGAGCGCCGGATGAGGTGAGGGCGAAGGTGGCTCTTCGGGAGGTGAAGGGCACTGTGTGGGATAACAAGGAAGAGTGAGGGAAGAGAGAGACGTACCTGGAAGAGGAGGAGGTCGACATTGGTGTTGACGTCATCACTCG